TGTCATTAACAAAAATATGAAATCCGGGAGGATAAATTAAATATAGAAATTGTGGCCAGCAGAACATTATCAGTTGCGTTCAACATACTCATAAGCATGTTCACGCACCCAGCTTACATATGAGCCATGTAATAATTATTTTTGATAGACATGCTTAAGTTATGAAATCATCTGAAGTGTTTGTAAAGTTCCACGATACGGATCTAATATCCTGCTATGCATTATGACCATTTCTGGTCAGGTCATGTCTTTGAACATAGGCCAAATTTTTCAAATGACCTTTAAAGATCAACTTTTGATTCATTCGAAGCGTTTTGATAAGAGGAACACGAGGCTGGTAAAATTAATTTCATGCAAGTTTTAAGCTAAAAACTTTTAAGTGTTTGTGGAAAAGCAATTGGTTTTCTCATAATACCGATGGTGGCAGTTGTTGTTATTTACATGCTAAGCCGTTGACCTTAATTAAATCTGGCAATATTATTCAGACATAGCGGTAAACGAGCCGATTGTTGTGTTAGGTTAGGCTCTTTCGGTCGATTTCAGAGTAGGAAGGGTGACAGGAATTAGGGGGAGACAGGGGGCCTGGGCGGGAGTCCTGGACCTCATGCTCCGCTGGGGCCGAGCCCATCACGTGGGTTGGATCAGGGTATATTGAGTGAAGGGTAGGACGAACTTTGGTAGGAATTTCTAGTATACCTACTAGAAAACCTACTATATGTGGTCGGGACTAGCAAAAAGTTAGTTCAAACTAGAATATGGTAGCGCTTATGGTTGGCAGTCGTGACGCGCACGTGACATTCATTTCTTAAATTCCTTAAATAAAAGGTTTAAGGGGCCGATTAGTGGGCAGATACATTCAATTAGCTATTAATAATTGATTATGCAAACATTCAAGAATCTACATCATTTAATTCTAGCCAAAATCACGCGGCGCTCCCAGGATTCGAACTCACGACCCTCGGATCCGTAGCCCGATACGCTACCGACTGCGCTACCGCGGACCGCGCGCCGTCGCTCGGAGAGGCGGATCGCGGGTGCTGGCGTGCAGAGAAATCTTTACCCTGTACGCCGTAGAAGATCGGCTGGGTTTCGTGAAAAATGGTAGAGGAATTGTCGAAAGAAAATTCATCGATCTATCATTTGAGGCCAAGAACCATTGATTCCTTCAAAGGTTGACCGAGATATCGCTCGCCGAAAACAGGCCATTTAACATGTAAACCCTATGGGCTGGTAGGAAATGTACGCCGTGGAGCAGCAGTGCTACCAACTGACTTTGGCGGGGGCCGGGTTGGATTGCCCTGACACATGGATAGCCCTGGGTGGTGTTTCACGGCCCCGCGCTGCAGCACGCTGCGCTGCGCTGCTGCATTATTGCGGCGGTTGATATGAATTCGGCTCCACGCTAGCGTTGCGAGCTTCCAAGTCTGTTAATGTTCCCATGGAAATTGGAAACCTAATGCACCGGTGCGCGCAACGCACCCTGTCTAAGCAAAATTTTATCATCGATGACCTCTAGTGACATGACCTCTGGCTATGCCTATGACCCGATCCAAAATTGGCTGAAGTATTTTTTTTCTTATTTTTGCTTCTCTTGGCGCTACTTCGAATGCCAATTAAATGCCCAAAGCTAAGTTATAAGAATGATGCTCAATCCCCATTTCCCCTCCAACAGGGCGTGAGAGTCTAGGCATTCCTGTGGGGCACGGGCTAACAATGACTATCTCATAATCATTGTGGCAATGAACATCTACTGCCATTCTTTAACACCGGTTTCACTGCGCTGAGCGGTGGCCGTCCCGTTTGTTGGATTCTACAGCTGGCTGGCGGAAAGCGTTACCGGCCGCCCGTCCACCGCCCGCGGGCCGGACCGAGCGGTCCCGCTGACCCTACCTGACCTGAGCGCGGCGCGATATGGGACAGGCAGACGGGGGTTCGGCTCAGCGAAGGCAGCGCCCACTGGTGCTGGGGACTTTTTTAATACACCTTTTTGCGTTGTTCGATGGCCAATCGTCAAAACCATTTCGGCATCAGTTTGGACAAGCGTCATTCAGAATAACCCATCGGCGATGTGCATCACTGTTTGACGGTCGGCAAAACAGGCTGGACTCCATTTAACCATTCTGCATAACTCTTTGTCATTGAGCACAATGTTCGTCATAGGCAAAACACTTTGTCAGATTGTCATAATGCTTCGACATTTCACAAAATGGTTAGTCGATGTGCAAAATTCATCGGTACTGTGCGTAAACAATGACTGTTGATTTAAAACTTTCGTCAATGATCAAAATGTCAATGATGTAGTGCTTATCTAGCCATATTCAATGTTTAACGTTAATCACGCATTCAGGGATGAGGCTTATGACAGTTCCAGCGCAATTTGCAACCAATTAACCATTGGATTCCGAAAAAGGCGGCAGTTATACGATAGCTACGAGGAGACTGCCGGCGCCATACCGAGTAGGCATGTAGATTCTTGAGCGTCGGACTCTTAAACGCTTCGATACAAACCACGAAGTCGGCCGTCATTATCGCGTCACTGCCCGTGCGATGTCATGGGACAACGCCTCGGGCGGCCGCGCCGGTCGGACTCGCGAGGGAATGGCTGACAGATGGCGAGCCGGGCCCTGCCGGCCGGACACCTTGGTGTTTGGGGCGGGGCTGACTTATCCAGCCTGTTGCCTGTTCCTTGGTGTTTGAGGCGGGGTTAACTTATCCAGCCTGTTGCTCTGTTGCCTGTCCATTTTTTAAACAGCCGATAGCGTGTCAGCTACGTCCATCATTGTACCTATGGCGCTCATGAACGCTACCGATTTTTATGTGGATCAATGGTCTACGAGTTTCGCCACCTATGCCTCGCACTGCAGTTGACTGCACTGTATAAACGTGGTCATATTTATACTTCTTTGTAAAGGGGCGATCTGTTTTTAGTTTTGACGAAATGTTATGAGGAATGCCGAAAATAGCATGGGGATGTTTTGGTGAACGACGAAGGGATATTAACGAATGACGAAGCATTTATCCAAATCGTCAAAGGTCTTGCCGGAACTCAATCAGTTATGGCGTATAGCGAAGGTAATACCAACTGACGAACTGTGGAGTGGGATCAGCATTCCGTTTTGCCCATATGCTGAAGGTTTTGCCGGAATGCCTCTCACTGGCGCCACCTATGTGCTGATCGGACGAATGGGTTTTGCTGATTGGCCATCGAACAACGCAAAAAGGTGTAGACCTACTGTACAGTGCGTCTATGCCACCTCCCTCGCAAACCGCGTCGTAAAAGTCCCAGGCCTTCTCTGCGGCTTCGGTCAGATCCCGGTTCCGGGGTCGCTCGACCCGCTCGGTCCTGCCCCTGCGCTGGGGGGGGGGGGGGGTTGTTCCCCTCGGGCGGTGGCTGGCCGCCCTCAGGGTCACCCTCGTGTCTATCCGCCACGTGCGGTGGTTGGCCTAGTGCCGGGGGGCGTTTCCTGCATCCCGCTCCGCTCTCACCACCCGCTCTACTTCCCTGTATCTTGGCCTTTTCCTGTGTGCGTTGATCTGGTCAGCATTATAAGCCGGAAACCGGCGACACACAAACTGACTGACCCCCATGCCACAGGCTGCCCTTCCTGGCCACTTAAGCCATTCCTCCGCCATGTCCCTAACGACGTCTATGGGGAATTTCGCGCGCTCTGATGGCCCAGGTGGTGACTGGTTGTAGGCTCTGATGGCCCAGGTGGTGACTGGTTGTAGGCTCTGATGGCCCAGGTGGTGACTGGTAGGCTCTGATGGCCCAGGTGGTGACTGGTTGTAGGCTCTGATGGCCCAGGTGGTGACTGGTTGTAGGCTCTGATGGCCCAGGTGGTGACTGGTAGGCTCTGATGGCCCAGGTGGTGACTGGTTGTAGGCTCTGATGGCCCAGGTGGTGACTGGTTGTAGGCTCTGATGGCCCAGGTGGTGACTGGTTGTAGGCTCTGATGGCCCAGGTGGTGACTGGTTGTAGGCTCTGATGGCCCAGGTGGTGACTGGTAGGCTCCGATGGCCCAGGTGGTGACTGGTTGTAGGCTCTGATGGCCCAGGTGGTGACTGGTTGTAGGCTCTGATGGCCCAGGTGGTGACTGGTTGTAGGCTCTGATGGCCCAGGTGGTGACTGGTAGGCTCCGATGGCCCAGGTGGTGACTGGTTGTAGGCTCTGATGGCCCAGGTGGTGACTGGTTGTAGGCTCCGATGGCCCAGGTGGTGACTGGTTGTAGGCTCTGATGGCCCAGGTGGTGACTGGTTGTAGGCTCTGATGGCCCAGGTGGTGACTGGTTGTAGGCTCCCCGATGAGCGCGTTTGCGGTGCAACTGCATTCCAACCTTGGAGTTGAACTCCCTTGACATTCCGCACAGGCTAGCCAGAATGGGTGTCATTTCCGTCCGGGATAGGTCTCCTCCCCTCTGGTTAGGGTCCCGATTCCTGCCAGGAGGAGTTAGTTTCCGGGGTGCGCGGGCCGACTGCCCACCGGCTCTCGCCCCTCCGCTCCCAGTCCCCGTCAGCGTCAGCCGCTGCCCAGACTGCCCACCGGCTCTCGCCCCTCTGCTCCCAGTCCCCGTCAGCGTCAGCCGCTGCCCAGACTGCCCACCGGCTCTCGCCCCTCTGCTCCCAGTCCCCGTCATTGTCAGCCGCTGCCCAGACTGCCCACCGGCTCTCGCCCCTCTGCTCCCAGTCCCCGTCATTGTCAGCCGCTGCCCAGACTGCCCACCGGCTCTCGCCCCTCTGCTCCCAGTCCCCGTCATTGTCAGCCGCTGCCCAGACTGCCCACCGGCTCTCGCCCCTCTGCTCCCAGTCCCCGTCATTGTCAGCCGCTGCCCAGACTGCCCACCGGCTCTCGCCCCTCTGCTCCCAGTCCCCGTCATTGTCAGCCGCTGCCCAGACTGCCCACCGGCTCTCGCCCCTCAGCTCCCAGTCCCCGTCATTGTCAGCCGCTGCCCAGACTGCCCACCGGCTCTCGCCCCTCTGCTCCCAGTCCCCGTCATTGTCAGCCGCTGCCCAGACTGCCCACCGGCTCTCGCCCCTCTGCTCCCAGTCCACGTCAGCGTCAGCCGCTGCCCAGACTGCCCACCGGCTCTCGCCCCTCTGCTCCCAGTTCCCGTCAGCGTCAGCCGCTGCCCAGACTGCCCACCGGCTCTCGCCCCTCTGCTCCCAGTCCCCGTCAGCGTCAGCCGCTGCCCAGACTGCCCACCGGCTCTCGCCCCTCTGCTCCCAGTCCCCGTCAGCGTCAGCCGCTGCCCAGACTGCCCACCGGCTCTCGCCCCTCTGCTCCCAGTCCCCGTCAGCGTCAGCCGCTGCCCAGACTGCCCACCGGCTCTCGCCCCTCTGCTCCCAGTCCCCGTCAGCGTCAGCCGCTGCCCAGACTGCCCACCGGCTCTCGCCCCTCTGCTCCCAGTCCCCGTCATTGTCAGCCGCTGCCCAGACTGCCCACCGGCTCTCGCCCCTCTGCTCCCAGTCCCCGTCATTGTCAGCCGCTGCCCAGACTGCCCACCGGCTCTCGCCCCTCTGCTCCCAGTCCCCGTCAGCGTCAGCCGCTGCCCAGACTGCCCACCGGCTCTCGCCCCTCTGCTCCCAGTCCCCGTCATTGTCAGCCGCTGCCCAGACTGCCCACCGGCTCTCGCCCCTCTGCTCCCAGTCCCCGTCAGCGTCAGCCGCTGCCCAGACTGCCCACCGGCTCTCGCCCCTCTGCTCCCAGTCCCCGTCAGCGTCAGCCGCTGCCCAGACTGCCCACCGGCTCTCGCCCCTCAGCTCCCAGTCCCCGTCAGCGTCAGCCGCTGCCCAGACTGCCCACCGGCTCTCGCCCCTCTGCTCCCAGTCCCCGTCAGCGTCAGCCGCTGCCCAGACTGCCCACCGGCTCTCGCCCCTCTGCTCCCAGTCCCCGTCAGCGTCAGCCGCTGCCCAGACTGCCCACCGGCTCTCGCCCCTCAGCTCCCAGTCCCCGTCAGCGTCAGCCGCTGCCCAGACTGCCCACCGGCTCTCGCCCCTCTGCTCCCAGTCCCCGTCATTGTCAGCCGCTGCCCAGACTGCCCACCGGCTCTCGCCCCTCTGCTCCCAGTCCCCGTCAGCGTCAGCCGCTGCCCAGACTGCCCACCGGCTCTCGCCCCTCTGCTCCCAGTCCCCGTCAGCGTCAGCCGCTGCCCAGACTGCCCACCGGCTCTCGCCCCTCTGCTCCCAGTCCCCGTCATTGTCAGCCGCTGCCCAGACTGCCCACCGGCTCTCGCCCCTCTGCTCCCAGTCCCCGTCATTGTCAGCCGCTGCCCAGACTGCCCACCGGCTCTCGCCCCTCTGCTCCCAGTCCCCGTCAGCGTCAGCCGCTGCCCAGACTGCCCACCGGCTCTCGCCCCTCTGCTCCCAGTCCCCGTCAGCGTCAGCCGCTGCCCAGACTGCCCACCGGCTCTCGCCCCTCTGCTCCCAGTCCCCGTCATTGTCAGCCGCTGCCCAGACTGCCCACCGGCTCTCGCCCCTCTGCTCCCAGTCCCCGTCAGCGTCAGCCGCTGCCCAGACTGCCCACCGGCTCTCGCCCCTCTGCTCCCAGTCCCCGTCAGCGTCAGCCGCTGCCCAGACTGCCCACCGGCTCTCGCCCCTCTGCTCCCAGTCCCGGTCAGCGTCAGCCGCTGCCCAGACTGCCCACCGCCAGGCCGCTGCACGCACCTGGCGGAGCGCAACTGAAAACCCCACGGTGCGAGGACGTTCACTGCTGCTATGTAGTTTGTGCTTCACTGAGGTGCGACAACAGGTGGCTTTTTTGCTTTTGGCAGCTTGCTGCGGGGACATATGCCCAGACAGACAGAGCTTATATATATGTTGCAGGCACTTTAGAAAATCAGTCATTTTGTAAAATGCCTATGCATTTTACAAAAAGACGGCTGTTTGAAAAATGACTGAAGGCAACCAGGCGTTTTTCAAAATGGCTAACCATTTTACAAAATGACTAGGCATTTTGCAAAATGCCTGACCAGCATGGAACGTAGATCCCACTACAGATACTGTGGCCCACAGTTTTTGGACGTCTTCCTACACCCTATAGGTACGTGTTCAGCATGTAGCTGATCGATTTGAAGCTCTGTGATGACGACAATGCTGAGTTGCAGACTCGGCTGTAGCATAAAGCATTGTTTAGTTAACGCTGTAAACGCTCTCTGATCACAATGAATATTAAAGCAATAATTAACAAAACACGATTAATTTTGTTCTGTGGCAACAGCTTTGAGCTTTATTTATAGTCACCGTGGCTTTGAGTACCTACTTGCATGGTCCCAGTTAAAAATATCAAGCTCCACATCGGGAGAATCATCGGGTCGCTTGGCGTAGGACGAGAGCGTTGGTTTCAGAAGACAATAACGCATAAGTGTGTGAGATCGAATCCTCGCGACCTCTAATAGTCTTACAGATACAGGCCGGCATAGGGCCAGTCGTTTGTTGACGCTCCAGATCGATCATTTTAAATCCAGCAGCGTCGCTGACGTGGGGGTTGGAAATGTCGCGGGCCTGCACTTCTCAAAATAGAGGTAGGTATGGACTTCCCACTGCTGGAATCCTCTGGTCATAATGCTGGACTCCTCGGTCCACCTACACGCTACCAAAACGTATATAATTAGGTACTCGTATCTACAACACGCTGCTCAGTCATTTTGTAAAATGGCTAGGTATTTTGTAAAATGCCTAGGCATTTTGCAAAATGACTGGAGAGTCAGTCATTTTGTAAAATGCCTAGGCTTTTTGCAAAAAGCCTGGAAAATCAGGCATTTTGCAAAATGCCTAGGCATTTTACAAAATGACTGATTTTCTAAAGTGCCTGCAACATATATATATATATATATATATATATATTGCTATGATTAAAACCACTAAAACAGTACAGGGTGAGCCATAAAGAATTACCCATCGATAAATTCATTTTATTTCTAAACGGGTTAGCCTAGATATGCCATCTTTTGCATACATGTCGCAAATATGTCTCCAATCCTGACAGTGTAACTCTTTTTGTATATGCTCGTCGACTGCCTCTGCTACGCTCCTGAAATGCGAGGTCGTCTTAACGCACATCCGCCGCTCCTGAACTTCAGGAATCACCACTGAGTGTTGACTGCTGAACACCCTTTGGTCTAAAGAATGTTGGACGCAATTTATCCCCGAGTTCAGCCCCACGGGCTTCCCAAACTGAAATATCCTGAAAACCCGACTCTACCGAGTCCCTGAAACACCGGAAATGACATACGGCGCAGCATTGTTATAGCATGGGTCATCGAGGAAAATAAGTGAAAAGACGGTGCTTACCTGCTGCCATTTTCTAGCTTAAAGGGACCCTCCCACCTTCAAAAAAGTTAATGAATTGGCATGAAAGTGATGTCGCTCGGTCCAGAAAGAGCGAAAACGAATATCTACCAAATTTCATCGAAAAATATTCACTGGTTTTCAAGATATTAGACTTTTACGATTGTTTACTTTTTGGGATCTCCGCTGTTCCTAGCGACTTTATTTGAAAGTGCGGCATTTGCTGCGCGCAAAGCAGCATATACCACGGCGTGCTACAAAACGTTTTAGTCAAACATTTAAAAATCGTTAGATATCTGCGCTGACGTCACACATTCAGAGGGGTATTCCTATGCATTAGCCCCTCTGAATCAAAATGCTGCAATTTTGAAATTCAATATTTCCGATTTAAGGCACTTCTGGATGTTGTGAGTGCCGAAACCGGTAATTGTGAGCCAGGGACCCCATTTGCCGGTGCGCCGTCTGGCAACCCGGCAGCCCGCCGCCATAGGGAAATTCATGCTTTTTGCCGCTTTTTCGCTCCTTATGAGTCACTTGATCTAATTAGAGCTTAACTAGGAACGAGGCGGGTTACTTGGACGTATTCGGGAGCCGAATACGGTGTTTTGGAACCAATACCTGGGAAACCCTACCCGCCCAATGCTAGTTTTTAAGAGTCTGCATGCCCAAATTAACGTTGAGCGCGGCCGTTTTTGGTCGGTTTTCCGCGACCTTGTGGCGAAATCGCCTTATTTATTCAACCAGAGTGGGCTAATTCGCTTAACTAGGAATGCGGCGTTGAAGAGGAGCTGTGGAAAAAATATTTTTGTATTGTTAACCTTCGCCCCAGTGTGGGGGGGGGGGGGCATATGTTACCACCCTGTCGCGTTGTTTGCGTGTGCACCGCTTGGGATAGCTTTTGGTACATCAATTTCGGACAATGTGTGAAATTGTTTACCCCAGGTCATGTCAGGTCAGGTCACCAGGTCAAGTTAACTGACCAAGCCTAAAAAAGTTTGCAATCATGTCCAGCAATCAATCAAGTGTTTGTCAGAGAGGTTTTAAACTTGGTGGATTGCATGATGTTATGGGTGCCTACAATTTGTATATCTCGGATTTTTTATATGCGTGACCTAAGGTCACGTCAGTGGTGTGGCCTTTCCATTATAAGTCAATGGAGAAAAACGAAAATGCCTCTAGATCCGTGTGTACCCATAGGAACAGCCCAAATATTTCAGAATCACAATGATTTGGACCCAATGATTGGACAAACACCAATCGATCCCAAATGTCAGTTACCCATTACAGCCCTATTTTTTCTTCCCTCGCAACAGACTACTTGAGGATGAGACGAATCTGTATGACTTGAATGCACATGATTTAACTCTTCTAGCTTTAACAAAAATATATTTTCCAGGCCTGCCCTTCTCGCCCCTGGCGCTGGATGAACTACCAGACATCCAAGAACACGACCAGCGTCCAGACGTAGAGGTGGCGCTAGCCGGCGAGCCCGGTGGAGTGGAGGGACCCGCTCAGCAGGAGGTGGAGCCGGAGCGGGACCCGGTGCAGGCCCTTCGGAGCGGGACCCGGTGCAGGCCCTTCGGGCCAACACCCGGCGGACCATCAGCCGGGCTCGGGCCGGCCAGCCCCCAAAAAAAGGCCCGCGCCGGCGACCCGCAGACGCCCCGCCCCTGGCGCCGCGCAACCGAACGTACTGCAACGTCGGGCGCTGCACCGGGGAGGTGCAGCATTATGGCATTCACCGGCACTTCGAGGACTGTCACAAGGACGTAAGAATTACGTTTTTTCATACATCACCATATACAAAAATAATGCACCATGTCAAATATAATTTTCAAGACGGCTTCTTTAGCTTAATCGCTTTTCTGTTTCCAAAGCAATGCACTTCAGAAGGATTCCTGCCATCTTCAAGAATATGTTTAGTAATGCATGCACCAATGCATTCTTGTATTCGTCTTCTTGAAGATGGATTTGAAAGCAGCAATGAGAGTACTCTTTCTTTCACAGATCCAGGACATCGCGGGCGCTGTCCGGGCCCTGAGGCGGGCGCAGCATCCCCGGCGGGCTCCCAGGCGGCCAGTGTACCGGTGCCCGGAGTGCGCGGCGGAGGTTCAGGACTTCCGCCGCCACTTCGCCAACCACTTCGCGAGGACGTCGGCTGAGGTAAATAATTTTATTTCTAACATAGCTGCTTTCTACCAAATCAAGATGATCAGAAGTGGGACCAATTACTGCTTTTAAATACCTGTGAAAGAGTTATTTCTATCATGTGCTTACTTTGTTACGCATTTCTCACCCGTACAAACGTCCAGATGACTTATTTGCGATGTTCATAAATTTCGTTTTTTTCAGTTCCTGCGGGCTGACGCCAACAAGGAGGTCGTCGCTCGGCCTGCTGCATTCTAATCAGTACAATCAGTATCTCTACCTAATCTTGTGTAATTTTACAATCATGTGATATGTACTGTGATAAAGAATAAACGTTTTTTTTAACATTGTCTTTCTAAAGCACGCGTCAAACCGAGACATTGAAATGTGGGTACTACATAGAACGTACACAAGGTGACACAAACAAAGGTAAAGCTAATCGTCAAGACCAGATTGCTAAAGACTGGCCGTCAATATGAGCCGGCAATCGTCCCTAATCCTTGGGGTGACTCTGGGGGTGATGGCACGCTGCCACTTTTAAGGTGGCACGCTGCTACATAACGATTCCAGGTGATGGCACGCTGCTACTTAACGTTTCCGGGTGATGGCACGCTGCTACATAACGATTGTGGGTGATGGCACGCTGCTACATAACGATTCCAGGTGATGGCACGCTGCTACATAACGTTTCCGGGTGATGGCACGCTGCTACATAACGATTGTGGGTGATGGCACGCTGCTACATAACGATTCCAGGTGATGGCACGCTGCTACTTAACGGTTCCGGGTGATGGCACGCTGCTACATAACGATTGCGGGTGATGGCACGCTGCTACATAACGATTGCGGGTGATGGCATGGTGCTACTTAAGGTGGCACATTGTTAACCCGCGCCCCAGTGGCGGTCTCAGCCAACTTCGCCGTAGTGGGGGGAGCATATGTTTTCACCCTCCTCTAACTCAAAAACCAAGAGGGCTAAAAAGACTCGGTAAAAAGCAGTCGATAGCTTTCAATGCGTACGTTTGAAAGTATTTCAGTCATTTTTCATCTTAGAGCAATATTGGGGTCACCAGAGGTCATCAAAGGTCAAAATTTGCCAATTGTCATTATATTTTTCAGAAAACATGCCGTTATCTCAGGAACTATGGTAGCTAGAAAAACGCATGGAACAGCAATCGATAGCTTTTGAACTCTTCTTTTGATAAGATCATTATCCAAATTGACCTTAGGTCAACGGTTTAGCCTCCAGAGGGCAAAAACCAAAAATAGCTGTTTTTACAAGTGTTTTTCGACAATAACTTTCGACTACAAAAAGCCACGACATTTCTATTGCAAGAATCGTGTTCCTCTCACCGGGACGCGTCGAATGAACTATAATTTGACCTTGAAAGGTCAACTTCATCTGTAATTCTAATCAGTACAATCATTATCTTAACCTAATCTTGTGTAATTTTACAATCCTGTGATATGCACTTATAGGTGGCGCCACATGCATCTCGGTAGCTTATAGGTGGCGCCACCTATATCTCGTTAACCTATAAGTGGTTCCACCAATTGACATAGGTGGCGCCACCTATATCTCAGTAAGTTAACGTTTTTTTGTAACCTTTAGGTGTCGCCACCTATTGATAAAGGTGGCGCCACCTATATCTCCGTAACTCATAGGTGGCGCCACCTATTAATATAGGTGGCGCCACCTGCATCTCGGTAACTTATACGTGGCGTCACCTATATCTCGGTAACCTATAGGGGAGAGTGGGGAAAGATGCCCAGGGTTTGACTATGTCATATATTATTCGAAAAAGACTATCGGAAAGCCAAAACTTGGAGTTTCAACGGAAGCCGACATCATTTTTCTCCAAAAATATCACACTTTCGTGCCTGAAATATGATAACTTTTTTGCTATGAAGCATTTTCCTGAAGAAGTGAAAGGGGGCATCTTACCCCACAGGGTGGAAAAGACGCCCCCTGGCGTTGGGTAAGATGCCCCCATGCACTATAAGTGACATAAATAGGCACGTGAATCGCCTGAACGAATCAGTAGTCCCTTCGAGCCTGCAGTAGACACCAAACGTCATCGTAAGGGCCCTCAAAAGTAGTCGTAAGGGGCTTCAGAGGTCATCGTTAGGGCCATCATAGTCCAGCGTGGCCAAACAAGCCTCCGTGGTGGCGTTCAGAGACCACTGTGGGGCCCTTATAGGTCTTCATGATGCTAGAGGGCCCTCGAGCCCATCGTGGGGACCTCAGATGCCAGCGCGGCCCGTGGAGCCAACGTGGGAGGTCGTGAGGGGCCCTGGAACCAATAATGGGGCCCACAGAGGCCGTCGTGAGGGCTCTCAGAGTCAGATGCCGCCCAAAAAGTCGCTGTGTGGGCCGAGAGACCGGCATGTGGGGAGCACCCGACCGTACTGGACTCTCAATAGTCCCAGATCGGCTTTTGTCTCTCATCACAAGTATGTAATAAATGATTTGACGGGCTGCTTGAAGGACAGCCTACGGATTTAGGGGGGGGCGTCTTTCCCCATCAGGACAGGGGGCATCTTACCCCAAGGTACCAAAGTAACATTAAATCAGCACAATTTGTTAGCCATAAAGCTACACCCTGAAACAAACTGTTTGGGACACAGTACACGCATGTTAATGTATCACGACTATAGCAAGGGACGCAAAAATTATCTACCTTCTTTGATATTTACAATGTTTTGACGCCAAAATATTTTTTGAAAGCAGCAAATAAAAAACATGCAATCACCAGCCAGCCGTTGCCCAACTGAGCTTCGCAAATTTTTGTGCAGTTAACAAGGCAGGCTTCCGCTTTACGCTAAGAACATTAATTTCCAGGTCCGATTCTTTGTTTCCCCGCTAGAGGGGGTGGGGCGTCTTTCCCACCCTGGGCATCTTACCCCACTCTCCCCTAAGTGGCTCCACCTAATGACATAGGTGGCGCCACCTATATCTCAGTAACTTAACGTTTTTTTTTGGGGGGGGGGGTAGCCTTGAGGTGTCGCCACCTATTGATATAGGTGGCGCCACCTTATGTCTCCGTAACTCATAGGTGGCGTCACTTATTAATATAGGTGGCGCCACCTGCATCTCGGTAACTTATAGGTGGCGCACCCTATATCTCGTTGAGTCGTTTACCTATAAGTGGTTCCACCTATTGACATAGGTGGCGCCACCTATATCTCAGTAACTTAACGTTTTTTGTAACCTTAAGGTGCCGCCACCTGTTTATATAGGTGGCGCCACCTGTTGATATAGGTTGCGCCACCTATTGATATAGGTGGCGCCACCTATATCTCGGTAACCTATAAGTGGCTCCACCTAATGTCATAGGTGGCGCCACCTGCATCTCTGTAACTTATAGGTGGCGCCACCTATATCTCGGTAACCTATAAGTGGCTCCACCTAATGTCATAGGTGGCGCCACCTATGTCTCAGTAACTTAACTTAGGTTGGGTTAGGTTAGGTTTGGTTTAGGTTTAGGTTCAGGTTAGGTTAGGTTTAGGTTCAGGTTAGGTTTAGGTTAGGTTTAGGTTAGGTTAGGTTTAGGTTAGGTTAGGTTTAGGTTAGGTTAGGTTTAGGTTAGGTTTAGGTTCAGGTTAGGTTAGGTTAGGTTTAGGTTTAGGTTAGGTTAGGTTTAGGTTTAGGTTAGGTTAGGTTATGTTTAGGTTAGGTTAGGTTAGGTTAGGTTTAGGTTTAGGTTTAGGTTAGGTTAGGTTTAGGTTAGGTTAGGTTAGGTTAGGTTACATTAGGTTAGGTTTAGGTTCAGGTTAGGTTAGGTTTAGGTTTAGGTTTAGGTTAGGTTAGGTTTAGGTTAGGTTTAGGCTAGGTTGGGTTAGGTTAGGTTTAGGTTTAGGTTAGGTTAGGTTAGGTTTAGGTTAGGTTAGGTTAGGTTAGGTTACATTAGGTTAGGTTTAGGTTCAGGCAGCCAGTGCTCTCGCGTCTCGGGCGCGTAACATAAGGAGAATGCGAGCATAAAGAAAACAGGCTACATTTATTGGTTGGGAGATGACGTTGTTATATGTATGTAAAAGATGACTAGCTATGTCAGCTCACCCTGAAACAAAGTGAAATTTTCGATGGGTAAATCTTTATGGCTCACCCTGTATTCATTAAAAACAAACACGTTTCAACACTGTCACGGGTTCTTTATGTATTTTTACTAATGCCTACCAAATATCGTGTAACATTTCTCCCAAAACCCCAGACAAAGATCACTCCCCTCCCCGATTTTCTTCCGTCTCAAATCTCTCGCGACACAGTTATGCATCACGTGACATGCCGCTTGAGATCTTTCACCAACCTAGCTGTTACACGGATCGTGACAAGCACAACTGCATTAGACGCATCATATAGAACAACACTTGACAACAGCTTGACCACAGCTTGACACCAAGTCAGGAGGTGGTTGGACCGATTTTCAATAGCGACCGATGCAAGACCGATGTAGATAGTGGAACAATCGGTAGGTCCGGAATCGAAGCGCTGCAAACCCCCGAGCTTTGCAACCATACTTCCCACTGGAGTCCAACAGGTTCCAGGTTCCAGGCATTGAACTCCTGGCCTGCCGCCGACGGCGATATCGGCCGAGCTGTAGATTGTCTTCTTTCTGCCTTTTCTTTTTCGTGGTAGTCGCCATCTGGAGCCAGGCGCTCTTCTGGTTGCTGATTCCCCTTGTATCGGGGATTTGTATAGGTGACGGTGTTAAGGTTGGCATATTCCAGAGACCTCTTGGGAATTGGGATTACCGAGGCACTCTTAGCAGATCAGATGCTACCCTGGTGCGTTTGTTACCTGCACGTTGAGCCAGTTTCAAATTGCGGAGCAGATGGACTTGGCACAACGAGCAGTGACACGATCAACATATTCTTGTTTTATTTTCTTGGTAATTTGTGTTTTACTTTTACTTTTTTTGAAATATTAGATACACTTTGAACAAGCACATGCTCAATGCTGACACTAATACACTCACAAATACACACACATGAACGCTGTAATACACCTTTTTCATTCCGAGTTTTTTATACTTTTGGATTTTAACCCGGCAGTTGCTGGGGTATTTCGCCACCCACCGTTTGCTCGGGGGGGGGGGGGCGTTAAACGTCCCAGCCGATAACTCGAGAACCAATAGGCGCAGAGAAACGCACGAGGCGGCAAACGAAAGAACGCGACGAGACGCTTCAGATGAGTACTTTAAAGTTGAATTTTGAGGTCACAGGTCGGGTCAAGGTCAGGTCAAACACCTGAAATCGGGCTTTCAGTATGTTGTGCTCGGTCGTTCCGCTTTGTCGGAGAATCCGACGACCCCGCCGTCCAGCCTCAGCAGTAAAAAGT